TTAATAACTTTAATATCAAAATATTCTGACTTTCCATATACTTTTATCGTATTCATTTCCATAAAAAGAAAAAAAATATTATATTTATGTTAATAATTGCTTTTGAAATTAAGAAAATAAATCACAATTTGATAAGTGACATACATACGAATTAATTTCAGTCATATAGTGGTTCTATTCTGTAGTATCAAATATGACGATCTGATCCTAAAAGCTTGTAAAAACAACAAAATTATCGGGTCTCGTCGAAGTGGAGAGACAGAAATTTACATGGTGAATTTACTCAATTGATGATATATTGAGGTTCACTAAACACAGACTAATGAAGAAATTACAAGATTTGTTCTTAATTACTCAGACCTGCTCCGGTAAAAGCAACATGTAATCTTGTTCCTTACAATCACAATCTTAATTATGGTAAACAAGTCCTAATTGAGCCAAGCCAACAAAATTAAAGATGTTGACACAACAGCCTTGAATTTTTATTCATGATGAGTGTGGAGGTTCAATACCATCACAATCAATACAGTTAAGCAGTATTTCTCCTGCTCCCAGCTCTTTGACTGCTTCTGCAAGCTCGTAAACTCCAATTGGTCGACCTTCTCGCCCACCATTAACCTTAAGAAAGAAAGCCATTTTAGATGCAAAAAGATAAGACTTCTGAAAAATAGAACTCCAGGGGTCATTACCAAACCAAGATGGATAAAAACAGTTGCCTAACAACAAAAATATAAGTGGTTTTTGTCTCATGAAATTTCTAGAAATGATACACAATAATAAATTAATTTCTCAAAATCTTTTCATTTATACTCCTGAGTTTGAAACTAAATCATGGGCAATATACAATTGATCGACCAACATGCTTATGATATAAACTGCTAGATCAGGCAATTTTCAGTTGACCTCAAGACCAATTTGAAAGATTTTGCAACACTCTTCAGTTTTCCTATTAGATCAGTGAACTTTAAGTTAGATGAATAGAGCAAAAATAAGCCTAACGTACACTGGTACCAAGCATATTCTTCTCAGCAGAAAAGAAGAGAGCTGAAAGAGCTGAAATAAGTCTTCTTAGCATTTCTTGAACATCATTACATTCTTCTTCTCCAACTGCTGGATGCAGCTTTTATAAAGTGAATCATATACTCATGTTCACATCTGCTTGCCTACAATTTTTCTAAGGGAATATATGAACAAATTTGAGCTGAACAAAGAAATAAATTAGAGAAAAAATAAATCATACTCAAATCTAAATGCGAGGTGACGGAGTGAACAGACCTTCAAATAATAAAATGAAAGCTTTTGGTTATTACTGTTGCTAGGCTTCCCTCCATCAAGCTTTACACTCGATGTGTCCAAGCAAAATTCTGTTTCTTTCCCTTATGCATTGGTTGATTATTTTGGTGATGGTTGCTTTGATGCTCGAGAATCATGAAGACAACAAAGGATCTGATTTTCATATATAAAAGATAAAAAGAGGTGTTAATAAAGTACTTAATGCAAATAAGTATAGTGCTATGCAATTGGAATGAAAATAAAAATGAGCAAGAAAATTTGTTGGAAAGAGAAACACAGGAAGGAGTTGCACTCATCTATTAATGAAAAACATGAACACAAAGTAAGAAGAGAAAGACTTAGACAAAGCTTCGGCCATGAGACTGAGAGTTTCTAGCATGGTGTGAAAGTAAGGATCCAGTACTTACATATTCGCTTGGCTTGGAACCCTTAAGGCCTTTCAAGCACACATGACTCAAGCATGAGGCATGTCTTAAATTCAAGCATAAAAATCATTAACTCAGAAATTCAAACATTTGTTAAAATTAACCTATTCACTGAAAAATATTCCTGGAGGGAGTACAAGAAGCAACAATAAGTATTCTCTCGTTACCTTTCAAAGTCAGGTCAGCTCTAACCTGAAAAATAATAGCTTCTGTACTTAAAAAATTTTGATATCTAGAACCTGAAAATTAAAAACTTATTAAGAATATATGATTGCAATGTATAAAGACAAACCTAGACAAAGTTCTGGCTTAGGCTCAGACAGTGGAGACACATTATTTGAGCCTCTTTCAGATTCTCCAAAGTGTTCGGATACAAGAGGGAGCCACTGGAGAATGAAGGACTCCGTTTGCACATCAGTCCTTTGGTGTGAAATTCGTGAGGGGTTTCAAGTACAGTTGAACTGACCTCGATTATTAGAGGTCTCCGTGCACAGGTACAATAAAATACTTAACCTACATTTTTTTTATTGTAAAAGAAAAAAAAATAGATGAACAAAGTTGAGATGAGAGAAAAAAAGAAAGATCAATTAATTAAAAAGGAAGTAAAATAAATATTTAAGATCTAAAAGCAGGGATTTGGGTAAAAAAAAAAAACAGACCTTAAAAATGAAAGAATTTAGTTGTATGTGTCTGTGCAATCCCTGTTTTTCTCCTCATGCATCTTTATATGAGACAGAGCACTCTAGTGAACATCCATTAGTTGATAATTTGGAGAAGGCTTCTTGATGTGCTGGACTCTTGAAGCTCAACCTGATTATTCAATCAACAGATTTGATCAACAAGTAGAAGTTTGAGACAAAAAAGGTTATTTTCTACTAATCTATTGGGGAACCCAAACTCAGTTTTCAGTGACAAAGTAAACAAGAAGTTTGCAGTTGTGGTATAAATGTAGGAATTAAGGTATGAAAAATTAAACATACCCACTGTCCAAGGCTCTTGCCCATCTATGTTGATTTGGAGAATGTGGGAAATCTTGGACCATTCAGCTCTGCTATATTTGGTGCATCTTTCCTTCAATTTGGGGCATCCAACAATCTCAAGATATCGTAAGTTGGTGAGGCGTTGCATGGCTTCAACAGAAGGCATACTCATCAAATTACCACAATTTGTAATGTGCAGCTGTCGAAGAGAAGAGAGGTTTCCCAACCAGTCTGGTAAAACTTCCACTCTGTTGAAATTTTCTAGACACAATTTCTGGAGGCAAGTGAAATGCTGAAGCTGATCTGGCAAAAACTTTACTTTATCCCATCCTTGCAAACCTAAATATTTCAGGGAAGCATGAAGGTGATGGGTGCAACTGAGAGTTGGAATCTCCTCCAACTCCGAGAAGAAAGGACCAATCGATAAACTATGAAGGGATCTTAAGGCTTGGAGTGGAAACAGATGCTTTAGATTTCCACAATCAGAAATGAAAAGTTGTTGAAGAGAAGCGAGGTTTCCCAACCCTTCTGGAAAAGCTTCCACTCCTTTGAATCCATCAAGAGTCAATTTTTTCAATGCAATGAGATGTTGAAGTTGATCTGGCAAAGACTTGACTTTATCCCATCCATATAATGCTAAATCTTCAAGGGAGGAGTTGAGCTGATGGATGTAACTGAGTCCTGGGAATAATTCCAATTCCTCGCAGAAAGGACCCATCTCTAACTTCTTCAATCTAGTGATGTAGCGCAGGCACCCTTCTGGAACGCTTCGTAGATTAATGCAATGTGAAATGCACAAATCCTGAAGAGAAATGGAGGAGCCCAGCCCACTTGGTAGATATGTTAATGCACCACAATTAAGTATCCGAAAAGTTTCAAGAGATGAGAGCTCATCCATATCTGGGATAGCTATCAAATTGTCACAGCCACTGATCTCCAAGGAAGACAGCTTATGATGAGATGAAAATCCACCTATCCGCCAAATTTCCAACTGAGGACAACTGTAAATTTCCAAAATCTCAAGGGAAGGAAACACAATCTCAACTTTGCTTCCTACTGCTATATCATCATCATCGACTTCAACCCATTCCTCTAAGGTTTTCATGTATCCTAAGGTGAGTCGTCTCAAAGCTGGGAACAGTTTGATTGGTTCCACTCCTCCTGGACTATTACTTCTGGTGGTATCAAACTTATGACCCATCCTTTTTACATTTTTAAAACGATAAATGCGAAGATACTTGAGACTAGGTAGAAGTCCTAGACTAGGAATATGTTCACAATTATCCCAAGACTCTAAATTCAACTCCACTAGGTTATTTGACAAAAATGTAGCACTAGAGTTATTGACACCCCTCATCATCCACTTCGGAAAGCTCTTTCCATTGTAATAACCAATGAATAAACCTTTCAAATTTGAGTGAGGCTGAAAACCTTCTAAAACCTCCTCATGGTTGCTTTGGTCTCCTTCCCATCTATTCCATCCCAGTTTCAAATTGTGCAATCTTGTCTTTTCCTTTAGGCCTGCTTTAGTGGCTTCTGATTTCGACCCCACTTGTTGTAGGTTCCCAATCTTCAATTCTCCACTAAGTTGGCTTAAGCCTCTCAGTTCTTCAATGCCACACCCTTTTTCTTTGCCAACAAAAAACAAAGGTAATGTTTGAAGGGAAGTTAAGTGCCCAATCCCCTTTGGCACATGCTTGTCATTATAAAAATAAATGTGCCTCAAGTTGACTAGATTGCTCATATTGTCAGGCATCTGTAGAGCAGATAAGTACCACGCTAGTCTAAAAGTTTGCAAATGGTAGAGCATGGAAAGGGATCCTGGTAGTGCCTTTATTTTGCTATCCGAGATGTGAAGGTATCTCAAATGCTTTAGTTCACCAAGAGCAGGATACAACTCTTCCGTCTTAGGTGTCCTCAATTTTAAAGATCCCATTAATTTTAAAGATCGCAAACTTTTAAGATCAGATGCCACATGATTGAAAACTTCAACCCGCTCTTCTATGAACAAAGAACGCAGCCTTCCAAGGATAGCAGTTGGAATGTCTAAAACCCCACTTCCATCATGCTTGACTCTCAAATGTAAAATAGTAGCATTTTCATCAATCTTGCAACCAGCCTTCACTATTAAAGTTTCATCTTTTGCAACGGTTAATGCCAGATCATGCACTACATCATGCATCTTGCAAGATTTGATGTCTCCATGTGCATCCATTTTCACATCTTGAAATAAGGATTTAGATAACAAATAGTTAAAGTAGGCATCACCAATTTCTTCCATTGTCATGGAGCTTTCATTAGGTTGGTGAAGAAATCCCTGAGCCATCCAAAGTTGAACTAAATCATCCTTTTCAATGATGAAATCCTTTGGAAATAATGAACAAAAAGAGAAGCATTTTTTCAAAGGTGGAAGCAAATGATCAAAACTTATTTTTAATACAGATAAAATCCATTTTCCTTCTTCTGAATCCAAATTCCATGCATTATTATCTCTGATAGCCTTCCACATACTCGTTTGAACTTCACGGCTCAATGCTCCTCCAATGACAATTGCAATCAATGGCAAGCCCCCACACTTTTTGGCAATTTCCACCCCAATATCTTTCAAATCTGAAGAAATTGATTGCTTTCCTGATAATCTGAGAACCTTCTCCTCAATTATTGACCAGCATTCATGACTCGATAACTTACGCATTTTATAAATTTGCATAGAATTTAGCATAAGATTCATCTTCATCATCCCAAATGCTACCTCTTCATCACGAGTTGTCACCACAATAGAATTCCTAGTTGTCTTCAGAAGTCTGGAGAGACGATCACTGAAAGCATTCCACTTGGAATAATCTTTGTTCCACACGTCATCGAGAACGAGTAGAAAAATCTTCTTTTCTAACTCTTTTGCAAGATCTTCAACAAGCACATTGATGCTACTTGGATGGGGACAAGCCTTAAAATGTTCATACAGCTCTCTTAAAATTGTTTCCTCATTGAAGTCTTCAAAGACACACACCCAGGCTACGAGATCATAGCGCTTTTCTTCCTGTGCCTTTTTGTATATTAATTTTGCTACTGTTGTCTTTCCAAGGCCTCCCATGCCAACTATGGAAACACCAGAGATTAGATACCCTTTTTCCCTCAAGTCATCCAGCATGTCAAGAATTCTCAAAACATCATCTTCCCTTCCGGAGACTTTTGAATCACCAAGAAGGGAGTCTGTCTTGGTTAATTGCATGGTAGTTGGATGAAATTCGCGTGACACTAGATTAAGTAGACGTGCACGCTCTTTTAATTCATCAAAGCGCACGTTAATATCTTTTATCTTGTCAACAATATCAGAAGTGATCGTACTCCTTTTCCTCTTCTTCTCCCCACGAGTCTCGACACAGCAGCGAAGATGCTCATAATCACACTCATCGAGTACATCCTCAACATCATAAGCTAGCCTTTGGAGATCTTGTAACCAGAGCCTTACAGGGTCATCACTTTTTTCTCCCTGTTTTCGCTCTGCATCATTGATCATAGACTGGATCATCTTTAGTGAATTTCTAAGGTTTGTGAGCTGCGCCTCATGGTCAGAAGAATCGGAAGCTGTCCACCATCTATAAGCACGTGAAATCGATTCGGAACCCAACGCCTCTATAATAGGGGGCAAGATGAAGTTGGTGACAAAGTCAAGTATCATGCTTGGAGACAGAGAAAGATCGAGCTAGCAATTGAATTCTGAGACACAGGAAAAACAGAATAGCGCTGTGAGAGCGAAGGGAGAAAAACAGAATAGTGTTTTCTCAAATATTAAATCGTTTGTAATGTTTCGGTCTTGTGAGCATTCTCTTTTTCCTTTATTACGGCTTTCTCTTTTACAGAAAATCAAATATTGCTGCACCTGGTCTTATTAATTAATTAACCATAGAAACGCCTTTCAAATTCATGAACAATAGACAGAAATCACTCAAAAAATTATTTGAGTTGCTATCAAATTATACATATTAGTTGAACGAAAAGGGAAAAGTAAGCAAGATGAAATAGATACTCTTTTTTTTTTCTTTTTTTATGTCATCAAAGAAGCTGGAATTTTACTAATAAAATTGTCTAGTGTCCAATTTAAATAGCCAAGAGTCTCATTTATTTGTAAGCTTTTAGATGGTTTTTATAACTAAACAAACAATACAACATACAAGCAAAAATCAATGGAGTTGAAAAGTATAATTGTTATATTTGAAGCCTCTCTACCAAAATCCTAAAGAATTCCCCAGAGCTTTGAAGTTTGAAAGCAATTAAAGAGCAAACAACGTAGCCACTCACCAGATCTCAAATGCCAAACCACACAGCGCAGACACGAGAATTCGGAGAGGAAAACGAGAAGCTGTTTGTGAGACTTGAGAACAATTAGCAGAGATGATGAGGAAAAAGGTAAAGGTAAGGTATATGGAATTTAATAATTTAACGCTTTTTCTTCGATTTTTCCTCTTTCTTCTTTCTTTTCTTCCTTCAATTGAAGTGATTTTCCTTTGGGAAAAAAATCTGGCAGTTCAGACTAACCAACCGCGTACACCTCCAATTCAGCAATTTTTTACGTTTCTCTAGCAAGTGCCGTTGTACTTCTATTAATTGAATTTTCAAATTAAGAGTTTTTTAATAGTAGAGGATAAATGTATATATATTTTTTTATTATTAATACACATAATAAAATTAAAAATTGATATTAATTTTATTAATTAT